AATCTGAACATGGAATAATATACAGGGTGTCCCATTTAACAAATCATAGTTGTTGGAACTTTTCAATATAAGCGGCATTGTCGCAGCGCTGAGAATATTTCAGGTCGATAGAGCACATTCAAGGCACCAAATTTTCAGAATAATCCCAAATTACGTTCACCAGAAACGTCTAATGTTCCTTCCACGTGAATCAGTCATACGGTGTTCCATTTGAAAAAAATGTCGTGGACGTCTAAACTTGAACGTGGATTACCCTGTATATCAGAATTTCAGTTATATAAATGGCAAATTGAGTATAAAAAAAGGAGATTTCTCAGAAATGCAGTTTGGCTAAAAATGAATTTATTCAGTACTTTACGAAAGCGCACTGTAAATAAAGTTCGATAACGGTGTTTATATCTGCATTATAAGATACCTATGTATAATTGTGTTTAACCAGGGCCTACTCTATGTTTAACATTTCCACTGATCCTCATAGAATAGTACTATTATTGGGAAAAACTATTATTATACCTATGACCATTACGGAACCATATCTCAGCGCCAAAATTCAAAATTATAAGAATTATTATACCATACAAGTTTCATATGAAATATACATATACATATTATGTATACAGGGTGTCTGTAAAAGGTTGGGACATGGCTTGGCTGTGGACTCCTGAAATAAAAACAAGTTGATTTAGGCCAACTTACCTATATCCAAAATCGTCTCGTTGAGTTGGTACAAGGCGTTGAAGTTTTTTTGGAAAAAAATAATTTTGCTCATAAAAAGTGAAGGCTGGGATCGATTCACATAATTCTTGGCATAGCATGTTCTGTGGCTGTAAGTCACGTTTTGAGCTGTGTTTGATCATCATCAGTGACCTGCAAGTGTTTCAAACATCCGTGTCGCCGTACGAATCTGCTAACTTTTCAGAGGTCAGACTGGAAACTTCCAATTTTTTTCTTTCAGAAAGATATTCCCTTCAGAAATATAATTTGTATCGTGTTAATTTCTGATGAGTCCCGAGGTTCTTTTGCGAATAAATAATTTCTGATATGATGCATCCTACGCATTTTTGAAAATTAATCTAATTAGTCGGACTGTGTATCGATCATGGCTACAATGCATTCTTATTGTTAACAAACTGATATGTTGCTGGTCCTCGCGGGCTATACAAGAACTCTTGCGTTACAAATTTAGCGATCCTGCACCTAGGGTGAGCACTTTAACGCCTTGTACCAACTCAACGAAACGATTTTGGATATAGGTAAGTTGGCTTAAATCAACTTATTTTTATTCCAGGAGTCTACAGTCAAGTCATGTCCCAACCAGATTATTTTTCTAAAAAATGCATAAGATGCCTCAGATCAGAAATTATTCATTTGCAAATGAACCTCAAGACTCATAAAAAATTAACACGATACAAAAAATATTTCTGAAGGGAATATCTTTCTGCAAAAAAAAACTGGAAGTTGCCAGTCCGACCTCTGAAAAGTTATCACCAAATTTGAACGGCAATATGGTTGTTTGAAACACGTGCAGGTCACTCAAAAAGATTTCAAAACGTGACTGACAGTCACAGAACATGACATGCCAAAAATTATGAAAATCGATCTCAGCCTACTCTTTTTATGAGCCAAATTATTGTTTTCCAAGAAAACTTCAACGCTTTGTACCGACTTAACGAGACGATTTTGGATATAGGTAAGTTGGTATAAATCAACTTGTTTTTATCCCAGGAGTCCACAGCCGAGCCATGTCCCAACCTTTTACAGACACCCTGTATAATGCTTGTAATTGTAACTGAATGTGACATCATACGGTGTTTACAAGTGTGATATAATACTTGTGAGTAAACGGAACAATTCTGTCCTATAATGTGAGTTGTGAGAACTGTTATACAACAATATTATAGAATAGTAGATTGTTTTATTAGGATCAAAAGTGACACTTTGTTTGACAAGCGAATTTTGCATTTGCGAGGCGGAGCGTTTAGCGAAGCCGAGCGAAAGCAAAATTTGCGAGTCGAACAAAGTGTCACTTTTGATCCGAATGAAACATGCTATTTTTTCTGCAACCGAAACAATTAACTCAAATAAATATGTGAAGTTACCACCAATGCCGTGCCATATGTATGCAATGCAACAAATATTGACAAATAATCCGTGTAGTGAGAACATTCTACCTGCATCAAAAGCAGGTTCATTCAATTTTCAAGGATGTTCGAATTGTAGTTTCAATATAAGTACAATCAAATAGTGACATATTTGTGTATGGTCCAGGTGCTCTAATAGCAAATACCGCGCCAGCTAAAGGAACAAGACGTGGAAAATGTTAGGTTAATGAGCATATCAACAATGATAATGGCGATTATTTACTCCTCTCTATGATACAATGTTTTTCACTTAATGATCAAATGAAGCTAAACAATATCGTTGTTTGAGACGAAAAACTATTGCTTGCCGTGATTATTCAAAAACAAGTTATCCATCCCGAGAATAACGAATGTAGTACAGATCAAGCAAGTATTTGAATCTCCAGCATTGATATGAAATTCCAAATCTGCTGAAATCGGAAACAAATCAGGTATGCGTCCCAACCCCAATAACCAATCGTCACAATGTTGTTCATTCTTGATGACGTCCAGTACTTCCTTTTTAGTTCCTAGGAGCTAAAGTTCAACTTTAGCTCCTAGGAACTAAAATTCAACTTTAGCTTCTAGGAACTAAATATGTTGCCTAGCAAGCTACCTATTTTTGTGTCAGTAATAGAAACGTCAATTTAAGAGCTAATTTTGGTATCAAAATGGACGACTTTTGTGTCGGTTGCAGAAAAAAATTTTTTTCATAACTGGGAATTGCTCTATAATGTGACACACTCAAGATGAAGACACCCCTGTATTCCAGTCATTTTTCGAAGCATTTATTTAATTTTTGGTACAGACGTAGGCCTTCATGGGCTGCACTTTTCGCAATACTCTGCTCAAATGACAGCCTCAATTAAACCAAGTCTACTGCGATTAGGGAATCGAATCTCGCGAGATTGGGGGTCAGACGAGATCTCACGAGTTATGAATTTTGTGTTAGAATTCGTTATGTGGGGATAAAATCCATTCCTTAGCAACTTTTTCAAGTAATTTTTTTCGGTATCTCCAACGCGAAGTAAAATACCGAGAATTTAGCCCTTTTCCAGGGATCGCAGTTTACGTATACAGTGTGAGGGCATCAACTCTCGATTTTCAAATGGAGCACCCTGTATTCCATTGCATTTTTAGATTCTTCCTGAAGAGCTGCCTTCATCAATGTATCATACTTGGAGTCTAGCGGGAATTATTACAGAGATATAGGGTGTTCAAAATCGAGATTTTTTAACTTTACGATTTTTTCGTGTCGAAACTATTCATTATCGGTCAAAACGGCAATCACAGGGTGGTTCATAATTCTGAATTTTGAACTACCCTATATTCGTCTGAATTAAATATCAGTAGATAGTGATTCAAAAGTTAAGATGGGGGCATATGAGTCGTCCTGACCAATAATGCATAGTTTCGACACAAAATATCCTGAAGTAGGAATAAGAATATATCGATTTTGAACACCCTATATCCCTGTAATTATTCCCGCTAGACACCAAGTTTGATGCATTGATGAAAGCAGCTCTTCAGGAAACATCTAAAAAGGCAAAATCAACCAAATTTCATTTCACTATCGATGAAATACAATGACGATAACTTCACCATCACTCAAGTAAACAAAATAAAATACCTTGGTGTTATTATAGATTCCCATCTGATCTGAAATGGAATGCGCATTTTGAGTATCTGATGAAAAAATTACGCATTGTTACATACAGACTAAAATATGTCAGGCCTTACCTACAGGTTTCACAGATGCGCATGCTGTACTATGCCCTATTTGAATCACACCTTACATATGGTATAGTTGTATGGGGCACTGCAAGTACCACTCACATAAAAAATATAGAACAGATACAAAAACTTGCTCTGAAAATAATTCATCACAAAAAAAGGACCTACCCCTCGGAGACATTATATAAAGAAACATCTATTCTAGACATCAGACAACTCTACTTTCACAAAACTACAATTAGACAACATATTAATAAACATGAACTTAAAAAAATCGAGCATCAATATGCAACTCGTCACAAAATGAATGCCTCCTATGTCATGAAATCACAGAACAACACACTCCAGAGATCCTATTCATACTTATCACCTCGGCTGTACAATCTTATTCCGGCGGACATAAAATCAAACAGCATCAACCTATTCAAAAAAAAAGTTAAATACTGGATATTGGCCTACCAAGACTGCAGATACACCAATATGTGGATATGAAAAATATATGTTACTATGCAGAAACCGAAAAAAACTAAAAAAGACTGTTTGTGCTTCAACACAAATAAAAATAAGTGAATAAACATATTACCATTTTTCATATATACTCCCCAATTGATTGTGACTTCAAAATCTGTCCATTATATTTTTCGCGTACACGTATATATTTTTATACATTTATATAAAATTTGTGAATTCATGGCTTTCATATATTATATATATAATATAAATGTCTGTGAATACTTCATTACAATTTGTTTATTTTTAACATTTCCATTAATATTTTTATCCCACGCACAGGTTCATCCTTCTGTGGGATTTCTATATTTATTTATCAAAATTTATCAAAATGTATAAGTATTTTAATGTAATTATTGTGATTTATGGTAAATAAATATTATTATTATTATTATAATGAAATACAGTGTGCTCCATTTGAAAATCGAGAGTTGGTACCCGTTACGCTTCAAAATGTTTCCACCACCAATTCGAAATCGACCTTTTCTTGCGATTTTCACCTTTTTTAACGACATCGGAGATTTGGGGGTAACAAATAAGTTTTAGCTGGGACATACTGTATATTGACTTTCTTAAGAGTTCTGTTTTGCTAGTTGGGATTAAAATAACTGATACAATGAAAACAAAAGAACTCACCAGCACAAACAACAAGCAACGTACGGCTTATTTTTCCCATTAAATGACAGTTCTTCCAGTGCTGCTTAGGATTCTTCTACACTGCAGATTGATGGATATAATATTCATTTATCATGATTTCATCACGGAAGTTTTATGTGACTAATTATGGCTAGATTCTGAATCTCTATAAGTCTCGTCCAATCGTCACTAATACAGAGTGTGAGATAATGTAAATCAAAGTATTCGCTCGTTTGATAAGGAAAGTAGAGTTTCGACAATGAAAACACTCGAGATCTCGACTCAATAACAAAACATGTTACTTCAAATAATCGATATATATTTCATTTTCCGATTTCATTCAACTACTTACCCAGACAGCACAGAATATTCTATGAATATTCTCACAACGTTCAAATATACTCAGTATGGCCAGGTAAAAACTGCATTTCAATTGTAATTTTATCACAATCAGTCACAAGACATTCAACAAGATGGCGTCTTCAAAATTGGGAAAGACTTTGCTGATTTCGAATTTTTGAGTGACAGATGATAGTTGATTCCGTCTTTACTCGTTTGATTCGTATACGGAGGGGTGAGTTAGTTTTTTGTAGCAGGACTTTAACAGCTTGACGTTCACATATTTCCAAGAGGAATTGTTCATGTGATCATTTATGCATGGGAGCTTAGTTTCCGCTAAAGAGGGAGTCAAAGTTTGTGATTTAGTCAATCTTTTTGAAGTTTTCGAATTCAAATTCACTTCATTTCCCGATAAAAACAGCAAGCACACTGTGTTGGGTTCGTTATATCAATGCGATGAAATAAAATGAAATATAATAAGAGCAAAGAATGCAATTTATAAATTACAATGAATAATCTTGAATGAATAAATATAAATGGTGATTGATGAATGAATGGAAACTACAAAAAATTTGAATACAATTGATGAGTAGAGACATGAAAAGTGTAAGAGGTCTTTATTCTGTTACCCTTACTTTGGCGCTCTGTTCAGGACAGGAGTCTTCTCTGGTATTTGACAGGGGGGATTCTCGAGCGCCAGATTGTTTTTGAGGTAGTTTACTCTACCTGCTCTGCACCAAATATTTTTGGTATAGAGGCCCAAAGTAGCAACAGTGGAGAAAGGTACAGGAGGTATACCCACCTCGGTACCTACAGTATAAACCAGGGGTCAATGGTATTGAATCGACCTGGAATCAATAAGAAGCCAAGGAAGTGTAGGCTTTAATTACAAACTGTGGGTTCAGCCTGGAATACTGGTTGCTATTTCTGGTCTGGATAATTACAGGAATCAAAACAAATATCTTTCGGGACTCTCTTGTATTTTGAGGTTAGGTCGGAAAAATTATTTATTCAAACTATTTCATCATTTCTACCTGGAGAATCGGAAACACAGTTCCAAACGAATCAAACAGCTTCAATTCCTATTTATATTTCGTTTTCTTTCGATTTCCTAATTTTCTAATATCGGAATTTTAGTGAGGTTAATTACCTTTTCCATTCATGCATTCATGTCAAAATTTCATGAAACACAGATCACTGCCTGACGGGACACAAAGCACAGAGACCCGGATGCACAGGACAGGATTTCTCGAGGAAAAGAAGAAGAAGAATTTACAACTGGCTCGTCAGTGTCAGTCGTCAGTCAATAATAATAATCTGCAATTTTGACAAATGAAAATATTGAAAATCAGTAAATAAATTATTGGAACTATTCGGAACTGAAAACAATGACAACAGAGAAAGAAATCTGAAATATGCAATCACAAAAACCGTTTATTCGCAAATTCAAAGTTCTGGATTCTTTACACAGGTCGGGTGAGTATCGGTATGCAAAACAACAGGAATGAAATGAATCTATGCACAGGATGAATAACAAAGGTGAAAAATATACAAACTTACATGTGTAACACGAAATCACTATACAATAATACTTATACACTGGTTTTGAATGAAATATGAGAGCACTAAGAAATCAGCAAGAGAATCAAGAGCTTGAAGAGCAGGTCGAGCAGGTAGTGCAGACTTGTGGAGAAGAGTAGAGAGAGAGACCCGAATCCTTGGCTGTCTTCAGTATTTATGCACTACTTTGGCCTTGACACAAGGACAAGTAAATCTGGAATCTCATTGGTCAAAACTCCCACCTTGTCATGGCTCATGGCCATGGCCAAAAAATCTGTCCTTGAAAAGCACATGTGCACCTCCAACACAAAACGCGGAAAAAATAATATTCAACCCTAAATGGGCACAGGAACAGGATCTACTACCTTTGCTCATGCTACTGAATGAATTTGGCTGGAAAATATTCAATAACAACAAAGTTATGAGCAGTCAAACATCAAGCATTTCAACAGATAGATAATTCAATCAAATTTCATATCATAAGCGAAGGGTTGACAAATATTGAAGTCTTTAGGGTTGTAATGATGTTCATTAGAGTTTACTATCAGGAAAAGCTGTGGGAAGTCAGGAATCAATGCATTACTCAGCTCTCTCAGGTTTTCAGGTTTCGAGCTTTCGAACAGGTGAAATTCAACTAGAATCAGGCTCAGGTACTTAAATTTTGATCAAAACCAGTCTAGTAATGAAGCTGGTCAAAAACACTTCATTACAAAAGTATCTGAAGAAACAAATAATGCATTTCAGAGGAGGGCATCTCTGCCCTTCATAAGCATAAAGGAATCTCCAACATTCTGAAGAGGATTTGCTGTTAGAAAAAATATCAACTTTGATTTGAACATGTTGATTCTCAAGTCACGAAAATCTGATGGCAAGGAATTAAAAAGCTTGACACCTATGTCATCATATCTTTTCAAGGGTGTGAGGGGCAGTAGCAGATGGTTATTTTTCCAGATCTTGTTTGAGTGAACATCAGAGTGTACCTTATAATCATTTAAGCTGCTCTTTACTCCTACTAATATACAATTAGTAGAGAGTAGAGTGTCATTAATTTCAGTTCCATGAACAGTGGTTTGCTGGAGACTTCTCTTTTCACAATTAGTATACTCCTTATGGCAGATTTTTGTGCCAGGAAAAGTTTATGTAGATGTATTTGGGAAGCTGAGCACCAGATATTTATTCCATATCTGAGGGTATTTTCGAAAAGAGAATAGTAGGTCGTGGTGGCAGCTGACTTGCTTATACATTGTCTCACTTTTTTTATAGCATAGATCACAGAATTCAATCTGCTGCACAATGATTCACATCGGTGCTCCAGATGAGCCTTACATCAATATTTATCCCTGAAAATGTTGTGTGAGTATCTTCATTGCAGATATCATCAATTTTAGTTATTCTTGATTCAAATACTAGTTTCTTAGTTTTCCTCTCATCCAGAAATGATTGATTTGGGACGAAACATGATCTTGCAGATTCTGAGATTTCCTTCTGGATATTTGTTGGGTCCTCTCTTCTTTGTACATCAATACCAAAAGTGGCGTCATCTGCATAATATAGAAAAGTACACTTATTTTTGATTTTTATTCTGGAGACCGTTCGGTAAATCATGTATGTATATTAAAAATAGCAGAGGGCCCAACACCGATCCTTGGGGAACACCTCTGATTATCTTTTTGGGGTCTGCTTAGCTCATTTCCTATCATAACTCTCTCTTTTCAATTTTCCAGGAATGGAACGATCAAGTCGAGGTCTACACCGCTGATACCGTGATAGTCTAATTTCTAAATTAATATCCCATGTTCAACACAATCAAATGCTATACTAAGATCAGTGAAAACTCCAAGGAAATTCTCATTTTTTTTAAGGAATTTTTGATTGAATCTTTTGAGGACTCTAATTGTTGACAGATGTTTTTGGAATTCATATTGATGTATAATGAAGATGTTGTTTTCGTGAAAGTAATCCAGCAATTGATCATGAAGTGAGATTTCTAAGAATATCTGTCTGAAACTATGAGGTTGATCAGTGGGCATGATTTTGTATACAGGATAAACCTTTGCACATTTTAATTTTGTTAGAAAATATCCATCTTGGAAGCAGGTATTGATGTCTACAGTTTTTTTATTTTTTATTTTTTCCAGAATTGCATGTATATCATGTGCATGACAGTGTCCCTCTAGCTCAGTTAAATAATATACATTTTCAACAGGACGGAGAGCCTGCCCACAATTCCCAAATGATTCGTCAATTTTCACAAAATAATTTTCCTCAACGATGGATAGCCACTAATGGACCTATAAGATGGCCGCCACGATCACCAGATTCATCAATTCTAATTCAAAATGCCCTCAGAAGAATTACAAAAGTTTATGAAACTACTATCAGAGAAAACGGTCATTATTTTGAACAGTATCTATATAACAATTAAAATAGAATAGAAAATGTTGATAGTAAAATTTTGAACTGAAGCATTAATTATGAAATGAAATGTGAACCATTATATTTTTTGGAGAGCTCAGAAAAATCTGAATCGAAATATGGAGAAATATACAGGGTGTCCCATTTGAAAAAAAAAAGTTGGCTTCACTTTCATGGAATTAGACTTTGAAGAAATCAAATGAGTACACCACTGAATTATGCGTGGAAAGTTTTACAAAGTTCCGTTTTCATCCTACCGATAAATTGGAAAGTAACCAAGATACATGAGGTGCTCAAAAAGTGGAGATTTTCAATTTCGCCCTGTATTTCAGAACGAAACGTGCTATGGAAATTCCGTTTGTGGCATTGTTGGTTCCACAAAAAATTAGGAAGGGAACGTGACAACCGCAACTCTCTATCTCCAAAGACAACTGAGATATCCCGCAAAAGCATCGAAAACTGCAGAGAGATTCTATTTCACAAATCGAGTCGAATCGGCCATCTTTCTTCGATATTTGGTATTCTGTTTCTCGAATGAATCGTGTTAACTCGATACGACTACTCGATAGCTCAAGAGGAGTCGAGTTGATGCGTTTAGACAATCTATCCTTATCTTTCATCTATCGTTTCTTTCTATCTGAAAATTTCAGGTTAGGATATCTTTGCTTCTTGAAAATTATTTTTTTATTCATTATTATTTGTGATCATAAAATTAATAAATAAGTGATGACTTTCAAACTCAAAGATGCCCACTGGGAAATACTGATTTAGTTCTCAGAAGAGCATACTAATATAGCCACAGGACGTTTTTCTGGGCCTAATGGTCGGGAAATGAATAAAAAATTATGGCTGAGACTTAGCCAAGAGTTGAATTCATTGGGACTTGGAGAGAGAACTCCAGAAAAATGGCAAAA